CCTATTCTAACTATGAAGGCCCATGTATTGCCATGTCTGCGGGGTCTGGTATAAGGGCCTTTGTGATTAGAAAAGGATGTGTAGGGTCCTTCGCCTGGGTGCTTCTCAGATTTTGTAAGGGCTTCTTCATGCCAAGGGGGACTACTTCACGGTTCATGGGTAGCTGGCAGCACGATTTTATGCAGTACCTGAGATGGGGTTAAGTAGCACCTAGTGTCACCTTCCTCTACCTCTGCTCGCAGAGACCCGTCTCCTTCAAGTGGCTTAGGGCATGCAGGGTGTATTCGGTTCTTGGATTGGTAGTTTGGAGCTTTTCTGTGAGGGTTCGCCTAGGGTTCTGGTTGGTGCGGGCATTCGGTGCGCTTTAGTCTGCCTAAACCCTAAACCCTAAACCCTAAACCCTAAACCCTAAACCCTAAACCGTGTGGGAACCGTATGGAATTCAGGCACCGGACCCAGGGCTTTGGTTGCAGGGAGCCTGAGACGGGTTCCCATAATAAAGCAGGGGCCTTAGTAATTAGAAAAGGGTTTTGGGTTTAGGGTTTAGGGTTTAGGGTTTAGGGTTTAGGGTATATTAGACTATCATTATAATAAGGAGCCCCCCAAGATAGTGTAGGTAAGTATTAAGGCCCCTATACTAGACTCTGTGGTTTAGGGCTTTGGGGTGTTCCCCCAACTCTGACCTACACCGTCAGGTTTCCAAGGTTGAGGGTCAGGGGAGTTGAGTAGAGGCACAGGGCTCGATGTCTTTGAAACGCCTAAGATGGAACTTAAAGCCTTAAAGCCCCGAAACCCTAAACTGTGACTTAAAACCTTGAGCTGCAAATCCTTTATCCGACACAAAGCATCAACTGCCCCGGAGAACTCAAAGCCTGACCCTTGAAGCCTACACTGCAGGGTTTCTAGGGTTGTCAGGTTTCTTAAATACGCAACCCTGCTCTTCGTCTGAGTTTTTAGTCAACCCTAAAACCTAAACCCTAAACCCTAAACCCCAACCCCTAAACCCTAAACCCTAAAGCCTATACCCTAAGCCCTAAACCCTAAAACCTAAACCCTTACACCCAAAACACTAAACCCTAAAACCTAAACCCTAAAACCCTAAAACCTAAACTTAAGCCCTATAAACCCTAAACCCTAAAACCTAAACCCTCAAACCTAAACCCTAAAAACCCAAACC